TAGCTAAGAGGAGGTGAAGAGATCAGGGAATTGTTTATACTTGCCATGATGAGGGTGGGAAATCGCTTTCTTGGGGGACGGGTGTGTTTTTTTTAATACATTTTTTTCTTGCATTTCTTCTCTTTCTTTTTTTCTTCTAGTTTGTATTATCTTTTATTTTGTTCAAAACTTTTAATAAAATTATTTGAAAAAAAATTCTGTAGCTGCTAATCATGTCTTGTCTATTTTATTTTATTTTATTTTATTTTATTTTATTTTATTTTATTTTATTTTATTTTATTTTATTTTATTTTATTCATAATCCAAGACCAAGTCACAGAATTTAAAAATACATCACATCATTAATACATACATTAGTAACTAGATATAGTACATACATATATAGAAGAAAGAGGCCCTATAAAATTAACATTTCATTGAAGGGACCAAATGGTTTCTATAAGCTAAGGCTATCAATAGAAATGTTGCTGTTGCCTTCAAAACATCTAAGTATTAGCCATTTAATAAGAATACTTCAATCTCCTCATCATGTGTGGAGTTTATCAGACTGAAGTGTGGGTGTATTAGCTCTGATCACCAGTGTGTATATAGTGGGAACTTGAAAAGGATGTGTGAAACAGACTCATCCTGTATATTGGAACAAATACATAGTTGATCTCTGAATGGAAGATTAGCATATTGACCAGTTGTCACCCTAACTGGGAGAGCATCTGTACGGGCTAGGGAGAAGAGTCTTCTATGTGGGGTGTTCAGAATCTTATTGAAGTGATTGGGGAGTGTCCACGTGGAGAGAGCAATTTGTCTGTATGAGAGATAGGAAAGTTTGGCTTTGTTGGCCTGAATGTCTAAGTCCCATACTCTCTTCTTTAGTTCTACCAGGGTTTTTTTCTAGACCTAAAGTAAGTAGGGCTGAAACTGATAGTCTACACTGTCTCAGATCTTGGTTGATTGTTCTTTTCAGAGTAGGTTGATGTATATATGTGAGTAAACATGTTTACAGACAAAGAACTGAGTCTACCATTCCTCCTTGGCATCCGCTATAGAAATCAGTAGGATTGGTAGAGGAAGAAGCACCTTCCTCCACAACTAGCACAGCAATGCAGTGGGCTGCTGCCATTGGAATAGAATTCTTTTATTCCTTCTCTGCATAATATTGGGCACTATCAGATTCTGGGCAAGGGGAACCCGGAGATGTATCTGCAAGGCCAGGTAGAAGAATTTTTGGAGCATCTGTTGGACAAAATCGCTCAAATTTATTCCCAGTTAGATGCTAGCCTTACTACAGAACTGGTGGAGATGCCTGTGGCACAGTCTTGCCCTATTATTTGAGGTTTGAACCTCTTGGGCCTGAAGAAGTAGACAGGGTCCTTGGGACTGTGAGCTCAGCCACCTGCTCCTTAGATCCATGCCCTTCCTGGCTGGCTGAGGCTGCCCAGGAGAGGACATATGGCTGGTTTCTGGTGGTAGTTAAATCATCCTTGGGAGAAAGGGTGGTTCCTTTGTCTCTTAGGGAGGTGTTGGTTCACCCTCTCCTCAAGAAACCATTGCTGGATCCCATCATACTGGACAATTTTCATTCAATGTCCAATCTCCCTTTTTTTAGGGAAGGTTGTGGAGAAGGTGGTCGCACAGCAGCTTCAGCGGACCCTAGATGAAGTGCATGATCTTTTTCAGTTGGGATTCAGGCCTGGACATAGAATAGAAACAACATTGGTTGCACTTTTGGATGATCTCTGGTGGAAGTGGGATGGGGTAGTGCATCCATCCTGCTCTACTTTACCTGTTGGCAGCTTTCAATGCTATCGACCATGGTATCCTTCTGTATTGGCTCCGGGGAGTGGGAGCAGACAGCACAGTATTGTGCTGGTTCTTTTCCTTCCTCAGAGGCCGAGGCCAGTCAGTACTGATCGGGAGTGAGAGATCCCGCCCTCAGCACCTACTTTGTGGGGTGCTGCAGGGTTTGGTGGTTTCTTTACTCCTGTTTACCATCTACATGAAATTGCTAGGGGAGATAATCTGTTGCCATGGGGTGAGGTATCATCAGTATGCTGATGATACTCAGCTATATCTTTCTGCCCCTGGCAAAGTAAGTGATGCTGTGAATGTCCTGTCCTGGTACTTGGAGGCTGTAGGGGTCTTGGATGCAGAACAACAGGCTTTAACTGAACCCTGGGAAGACTGAGTAGCTTTGGGTTTTAGAGCCTTCTGGATTGGGGACTTTACAATTTTTGATACTGGATGGGGTGGCACTGCCCCAGACAGACCTGGTTCGCAGTCTGGGGGTCCTTGTGGAGCAAGCAGATGGCAGTCATGGCCAGGACGGCCTTTGCGCAACTTTGTGTTGTGGGCCAGTTGTTTCCTGGATTGTGGGGCTCTGCTCTCAGTTACTCATGCCCTAGTCACCTCCTGTATAGACTATTGTAATGTGCTCTACATGGGGCTGCCCTTGAAGAGTATCTGAAAGCTGTAGCTGGTGCAAAATGTAGTGCCACAGGCAGTTATCTGTTCCCCTAAGAGGACATACATTACACCTTTGTTTCTGGTTCCAATTCAAGGTGCTGGTTTTGACCTTTAAAGCCCTACATGGCATGGGGCCACATTATCTGAGGGACTTCCTGATTATATCTACCAGTCCCATCAGGTCCGGCAGGAGAGGCATGCTGTGGGTCCCATCTGTGAAAGAGTTCCATCTGACGGGACCTAGGAGGCGAGCCTTTTCTGCTGTGGTACCCACCCTCTGGAACATCATCCCTCCTGAAGTGAGGTTAGCCCTAACCCTCATGGCCTTCTGGAATGCCCTTAATACAGTTTTTTCAACAAGTCTGGGGATCCCCTAGTAATAGGGATCCCACGTGTTGGCTGTATTATGTGTAATTTTCTCTTGCTTGTGGTTTTGTTTTTATCTTTACTGTTTTAATTGTTTTTAATTGGTTTAATTGTTTTAGTATGTTTTTGATGGTGGGTTTTATTGTACGCCACCCAGAGTCACTTTGTATGAGATGGGCAGCCATATAAATGTGACAAGTAAGTAAATAAATAAATATTTGAAACTAAAAGCAAGTGAAATAATATTCAAACAATAAAAGAAAAAAAGACAGTTTCATTATCTTATTCATTGCCTACAGTTACCTAGAATTGTTTAGTACTACACATAGTCTTGATAGGATAAATTACTATCCTTTCAATGACTATATGTAGTTTTGAACAATTCTAAAAAAAGGAAAGATAGCCTAAGAGGTCAGTATTCATATTCAAATGCAACTGACAGTTAACAAATGCACGATTTCACCAAGGTATATGCATATGTGTGAAAGTGATATTTCTTATTAAAACTTTTCTTTCTTAAACTGAGGGCAACTTCAAATATTAAAAGTAATAAACACAAAATAAAACACAAAGTATTTTTAAAAGTAACATTAGTAGATAAGTTTATAAGCTGGATACTTATGCATAAGCTATATAAGAAAGGTAGGGCCCAATTTAACTAACTGTCATAACTAAACCAATCTTACTGGCTTTTTTAATAAGGTAAAACTTGCTTTTATTGAGAATGATAACAAGTACAGAAGGATATGCTGGGAAGTATATAGCTTTTTCCCCAACTACCATCTCTCCACATTTCAGTCAGTTGTCTTTCTCTCCAGTGGATTAGATCTAAGCTAAGTTGCAGCTAGTTTTCACTAAATAATGGGGAATAATTTAGCTGACTGATTTCATTGGAAACTAAATGCAACCATCTTAGACAAGATTTAATAAAATAATTTTAACTGACCAAAGTTTGTGTGTAGCAGCATCAGTATATCAATATTGTAAGTCTATACAGTAAAATGTATAGTAATTTCAGCACATCATATTACATGACAAGTACAATTAACGGTAATTTTCTAGTTTTGCAGTATCATTGCTTTTAAATGAAGAATATAAAAGTACTCTTTCTTCATTATCTTGGCGAGAAGCATTCTAAATGTAGTGGCAAATATGTCAATTTTGATTTTTCTCAGTTTCTAATCTTTGCTATTTTTACATTCATTTTTTTCTCCCTTGAGAACTTTTTAAAAAAGTTTATGCTCAATTTCGTATGCGTTTTGGATATTTATATATACATACTTTTGCAAAAATACTTTTTGTTTGCAAATATATTTAATGTACATAACTTGCAAATACTTAATGCATTTTATGTTATTTTAATGAGTGTGTTCACATACCATTCAATTAAAAAAATATTGCATTGGTATTGTGTTTATATGTTAGTTGGTTTAAAAAGAGAGCCAATTTGGTGTAGTGGGTAAGGCATCAGGCTAGAATTGGAAGACCGTGAGTTCTAGTCCTGCCTTAGGCACAAAACCAGCTGGGTGACCTTGGCCAGTCACTCTCTCTCAACCCTAGGAAGAAATAGTCAGTGGCAAACCAGTTCAGAGATCTTGTCACAAAAACTGCAGGGACTTGTCTAGGCAGTAGCCAGGAGTCAAGACTGACTCGAAGGCACACATACAATACAATACAGGTTTAAAAAATATTTTTCTGTGCATGCATTTGTGTATGTGCACTTGCACATATATACTGTATTTTTCCATCTATAAGACAATACTTTTTTCTAAAATCGTTATACTAAAAATTGAAGGGTGTCTTATTCAAGGAAGTCAGCCAAGAATTGCGCGGTTGCAA